AAAGCAAGCCACCAGGACTGGGACTCGAACTGTGGTCAGCCATGTGGGAGTGTCCAGTGCCTTAACCACCATGCCACCTGCTGGTCCCTGCACATGCATCTTAAAAATCCTATGTTGTATTTCTAGGTTTCTGTATCATCTTAATATTTTATTATATAATAACTATGAATATAGGCTTGAAAATGTAGAATTTCGCTACTTAACACTTGGCGTTACTTCTATAGGGATTTGAGGCTATTAACCTTATAGGGAAACTTGAACTTTATATTTTTTTAACTTTTATATTTTCTAGGTGGTTATCAAAATGTAAACCCAGTCCAGGTTTGAACAGCAACGTTTTCTCTTTTCTTCAGCGAAAAGTAGAGAATGGAGACCAGCTGTATCAATATTGTTCATTGATAATAAAAGGCGTATCCCTCAAGCAGCAACTTCAGTGGGATCCCAGCAGTAACACTTTGCAGGGGTTTATGGACTTCGGTCTTGGGACACTTGATGCTGATGAAATACCACTTGCCTCAGAAACTATTTTATTAATGGCAGTGGGTATCTTTGGTCATTGGAGAACACCTCTTGGTTATTTTTTGGTCAACAGAGCATCTGGATATTTGCAAGCTCAACTGCTTCGTCTGACTATCGGCAAACTGAGTGACATAGGAATCACAGTTCTGGCTGTTACGTCTGATGCCACAGCTCACAGCATCCAAATGGCAAAAGCGTTGGGGATCCGTATCGATGAAGACAACATGAAGTGTACATTTCAGCATCCTTCATCCTCCAGTCAACAGATTGCCTATTTCTTTGATTCTTGCCACTTGCTGAGATTAATAAGAAATGCATTTCAGAATTTCCAAATCATTCGATTTACTAATGGCACAGCACACTGGCAGCACCTTGTGGAGTTAGGAGCACTCAAGGAACAAGAACTATCAAATATGGAAAGAATCCCAAGTAAACTTGCAGATTTGAAAAATCATGTCCTAAGATTGAATTGTGCGTCCCAGCTCTTCAGTGAGAGCGTAGCCAGTGCATTAGAATGTTTACTGTCGTTAGACCTACCTCCTTTTCAGAACTGTATCGGTACTGTGCATTTTTTGCGCTTAATTAACAATCTGTTTGACATTTTTAACAGTAGGAACTGTTATGGAAAGGGACTTAAAGGACCTCTATTGCCTGAAACTTACAGTAAAATAAATCATGTGTTAATTGAAGCCAAGACTATTTTTGTTACATTATCTGACATTAGCAATAATCAAATCATTAAAGGTAAACGAAAACTAGGATTTCTGGGATTTTTGCTTAATGCCGAGAGTTTAAAATGGCTCTACCAAAATTATGTTTTCCCAAAGGTCATGCCTTTTCCATACCTTCTGACTTACAAATTCAGTCAAGATCATCTGGAATTATTTCTAAAGATGCTTAGGCAGGTATTAGTAACCAGTTCTAGCCCTACCTGCATAGCATTTCAGAAAGCTTACCATAATTTAGAAACCAGATACAGGTTTCAAGATGAAGTTTATCTAAGTGAAGTAAGCATCTTTGACATTTCAGTTGCTAGAAGGAAAGACTTGGTCCTTGGGGCAATTCAATGTCAGTATGGTGTCAGCAGTATGAGGACACGTTTTCTCAAGGAGGATATTTGCCAAGACAGGTCTAATTGTTCACTAGGTGAAGCGTTACTAGACCCATCAGATCATAGGCGACATAGCATCCCATGTGCTAGTTATGTTGCAAATAAGTTATCCGCTCTTTTAACCTGTGAAGACTGCATCACTGCACTATATTCATCAGATCTCAAACCCTCAAAAATTGGGTCACTGTTATGTGTTAAAAAGAAGAATGGTTTGCATTTTCCTTCAGAGAGTCTGTGCCGGGTTATAAATACTTGTGAGCAAGTTGTAAAAACCCATTCAGGAATGGCTATTTTTGAACTAGTTCCTAAACAGAGGGAATTATATCTTCAACAGAAAATATTACATGAGCTCGCTGGGAATACTGATCTTTTCGTAGATTTAGATGGACATCTCTTTGATGGAGAAGTGTGTGCTGTCAATCACTTTGTAAAGATGCTAAAGGATATAATCATCTGTTTCTTAACTCGTAGAGCTAAAGATATAACTCGGTACCCTTTAAAACATCATTCAGAAAGAACTGAAACAAAAACTTCCCTAAGGAAACACTGGTCATCTTTACAGGATTATAAATGTTCAACTTTTGCTAATACCAATAAATTCGGGCATTTGCCAAGTAATGATGGGTATCTATTCAAATGAGAGACCAAAAATATATTAGCATTATTAAGACTATTTGGCCACGTTTTTTTAAAAAGTTCACTTTAGTGTATTTTTACAAACTGGCCATTCTGCACAGTGGACAAGTTTGCAATACTGACATTTATGCATACCAGAAATCTGCTCATAATTTGGTATAGCTTGCAGCACTTACAATTTTCCAAAATGTAGGAAACAGCATGTCATTCATTAATACCAAAGATAGCCAATGGTCGCTATCTTTGGACTTACCACAGTAAGACTGAGTAATGACTGGACTTATCTTTTAACTTAATCAATCTACTTTAAAAATAACAACTAGGAATCACCAAAGCATTGACTCCTTTTATCAACCACATTTTCCTAAAAGAGCTCTGGTTTACAATATTCAAGAATGCTGAGAGGCTACCTATGAAACAAATAGACTTTATACTTAAATGTGAAAATTATGTTGTGGTTTGAAACTAGGCTCAAGCAAATTCCCAAATACTATTAAAAAAATCCCCTGTCCTGGGGTATCCTAAAACAGAAGTACTTACACTTTGTCAGGCAGAAGAGAAGTGTGTGAGCCATGAGGTTGTTTCTTGTGCTATAAACAAGCTGCGGATTGCAGACTGGGAAGAAGATAGGTAATGATTTCACTACCTATTGTCCCTGGACGTTGAAATACTTTTGAATAATAGGGTGAATACTTACTTGACTCCCGTTGGAAGAGCCCAGTGCTCATCAGAAAAATGGGAAGAAGCCTTTAACTCAACTTCTGCTCTGAGGTCTACTCCTGTTTGCATGAAGGCTAAAATAATGAAACACATATTCAGTGATGGATGAATAATGGCATATGATAGCATATGATTAATAAACTGGAAAAAAGCTCGTCAATTAAGACAATGGACATGAAAAAAATCTTAATTACAAAATGATTGTTTTCCATAAATTTAAGAGAAGCTTAAATAATCTGAAGATAGACACATACTAAGAACAGTTTTCTCCATTCTTTCACACCCAGATTTGAAAAGACAAATAGAAAAATATAAAGGTACATATTCTTTCACAAATGATAATATTTAAATAGATAAAAGAAGAAATGAGCACATAATTCACCTGTCTATAATTTGTCATTGGATGGATTTTCACAAAGTACAAATTAATCATAACATGAAAACTTAAAATTGCAGAAGATCAATGGGCAGGTAAAAATTGAGTACATTAACTAAAATTCCCTTTAAGTATATTTTGAGATATTTGTTTATTCTACCTCAAAGACAAGTTTTGAATGTAACTGGTGTTGTACTACATTTTATATACAAGACCTATTGCTGAATATTGTTTTTTGAATTTTGTTTGCAAATAGCATTGAGGTTCAATTCATTAGAGTCTTATTTAAAGGAAGTCTCTGTATATCATCACCTTTAATTTATTGCTTATCTAAATCCAAGATTTAGACCTTATCTTTATGTAAAGCAAGCACCTCTAGTGTTTAATACTCTTTGGTGTTACATTTGAGTAAGGTCGTAATATATTCTGTGTTTGGAGAAATTAGTGTTTTGCATTATCCTTTAAGTACTAGATAGATTGGGCAATAGATGTTGAAGACTGTTTCCACATTGCCTTAAGCCTAGTTAATTGCTCTTGCACTTGTGAAAGAGTTTGAAGTCATATCAGATTTATTTATATGCTTTACATATCATAAATATCCATTTATGACTAGTGTAATTTGGTTATAATTTCTACCCACATATTTGTCCTTTTATTCTACAGGAAAAAAAGCATTCCCTTTAAAATTTTATTCTGATTTTCCAACAAGTAGTTCTAGGACAACTGGATATCCACATGCAAAAGAAATAAATCAAAATGGATCGAAGCCCTCAATGTAAGAGGTAAAACTATTAAACTCTTAGGAGAAAATAGACTAAATCTTTGAGATCTGAATTAGTGGATTCTTAGATAAGACTTCAAAAGCACAAGCAACAAAAGAACACATTAGGTCATCGGGAAAGTTATGATGAGCTTTTCTATGCAAAAATATATCATGACTTTTCGGATAACCTAATTAATTTGACTTTATCAAAATTAAAAATGTGTTCATTGAAGGAGTACTGTCAATAGGCCCCACGGTCTACTGGTTAAGGGGGCTAGATTCCACTGAGTGGTTTGACTCCTGGACCCCATGACTTGAGGAACATGGAGTATATATGTACAGGTCTGCTCAACGTCCCAACAGGATGGAGAGATGGAGGAGAAGGAATTGTGCCATACTCATGCCCTACTGGTGAGTGCGTTCTCCCTCTCCCTCTCTCGTCCCCAATGTCTCCCTCTGGTGAATTAGCTTGCCAGAAAAGTCATAACGTATTTTTCTGTGCAAAAATAAGACTTTTCTAACAACTCGATTAAAAAAAATTATAGTGAAAGATAACCCCTACATGGGAGGAAATTTTTGCAAATCATTTTTCTGATAAAAGACTCATTTCTAGAATATGCCAAGAACTATACCCGAATAATAAGAGGACAAATAACCAATTTTGTATAATACATAAAGAATATGAATAGTTGTTTCTCCAGGAAAGATACTCAGATGGCCATAAAACACATGAATAGTATGTTCAACATCATTAGTCCTCTAGGAAATACAAGTCAAAATTACAATGGGAGGTCACTTCACCCCACCTAGAGGACTATAATAAAACCGAATGTTGGGCCAGCCAGTAGCATGGAGGTTAAGGCAGCTGGATCCCATGGGGCATGCATGCATAGAGTCCCAAACCTGGCAGCTTGGAAAACACCAGGCATGTGTGCTCCTGTACCCAAAATCTCAAAAGGAGGGAGAAATGGAGGAAAAGGGATCCCATCCTCCATGTGGGTGCTTTCTCTCTTTCACTCTCTCTCTGCAGGGAGCATGGTTTTACCCTCTGGCAAAATTAAAAAAAAAAAAAGAGTGGCAAGAATGTGAAGAAGTTGGAACCTTCTTTTTTTTTTAAAGAATTATTTTGGTTTTTATTTATCCATTCATTTATTTCATTTTTTTTTTTTTATTTTGACCAGAGAGGGACAGAGCAAGAGAGAAGGAGAGAGTGGGAAAGTGAGAGAGCAAGCCTCCAGGTCCAGGACTTGAACCATGGTCAGCCATGTGGGAGTCCAGCGTCCTTAACCACCATGCCACCTGCTGGCCCTGAGAAATTGGAACCTTCTTACACTGGAAATCTAAGATAGTGTAAATGTTTTGGGAAACAGCCTTGTAGTTCATTAAATAGAGTTACCCATAACTCAGCAACTTTACTCCTAGGCATATACCAAAGAAACGAAACTATGTCCACACAAAAATTTGTACATGGACTTTATAGTTTTTTATAATAGTCTAAAAGTGGGAGAAAACAAAAGTGTACATTGACCAGTGGATAAATAAAAATGAAATATGCCATATCCATACAGTGGGCCTTGTGAAGTTTTTAATCTTATAACAAACTGCCGGAGTGACTACCAGTTTTCATCCCAGCCGACAATGAACATTCCTGGTATTGGGGGTGATAACTGGCGTGGTGGTTAAGGGCACTGGATTCCCACATGACCGACTGTGGTTTGAGTTCCAGAGTTGGCGGCTTGCTTTCTCACTTCCCTTTCTCTCTCTCTCTCTCTCTCTGGTCACAAGAAAAACAAAGTAATAACATGGAATTAAGTAAATTAGTTAATTAAAAAAAAATTCCAGTTGCTCTACCTCTTTCTCAATCCTTGGTATTTTCAAGGCTTTTGTTTTGTTTTCTTGTTTTGTAGATTTAAAATAATGATAGTCATTGGGCCAGCAGCTGGTGTGGTGGTAAAATGTGCTGGACTCTCACATGGCCGAACACGGTTTGAGTCCCAGACCTGGCAGTTTGCTTTCTCACTTTCCAACTCTCTCTTACTCTGTCCCTCTCTAGTCAAATTAAAAAATAAAGTTAAATAAAACAATTCTTTAAAAAAATAATAATAGCCAGAGGGCATTATGTATTTGCCAGAGTGGAGTGGGAAGGTACCCCTCAGTGGGGTGTGATCACACTGCAATCCCTTCTCCATTTCTCCATCCTGTCTAATGTTTGGGCACATATGCAGATATACTGGGTGTGTTTTCCAAGACATTGGGGCAGGGATTCAAACCATGGTCAGCCCTATGGAATATAACCACTTGGCTATGGAGCGGGGCCTGTTAATTTTTAAAATAGTTGATACATTTTTGTACTGGAACCACTACTTTGTTTTTAATGCCAGAGAGTGCATGAGCATGCACTAAAAAGGGAGAGAGAGAAAGCACCTGCCAAAAAGTTTGGTCGTGTTGCAATCCTTTTTCCCCAGTTCTCCATTTCCTCAAGATCTCTCCCGCATGCACATGTACCCTCTGGTTTGTTTTCTTTTTAAAGCCACCAGGGCCAGGAGTCGGACCCTGATCAGTGCTTAATCACTGTGCTACAGAGCTGGCCCTGGTTTTGTTTCCTAGGAACCATTCTAATAGGTATGTGGGGATGTTTCGATGTGGCTTTCATTTCCATTTTCCTAATGGCCTGTGATGCTAAGCCCCTTTGCATGTGCTTACTTGCCATACATACATCTTCTTAGGTATAATGTGTGTTCAGGTCTTGCTCCTATTTTGGAAGGTCAGTGGTTTTTGGTTTTCTTACAGAGCCTTAGTCATAAATTCTGCCTGTAAGTGCATTATCAGATGTGTTTTACACATAGTTTTCATCATCCGTAGCTTTTTATTTTCTTCATGCCATCTTCTAAAGATCAGATAGAATTAATTTTGGTAAGTCAGTTTTTTTTTTTTTAATTTAGAGATCATACTTTTTAGTTTCCTATCTAGGAAACCATTTTCAGTTAACTTCAGTATACAGCGTGAATTAAAGTTCATATCCTCACATATGGTTAGCCCAGCACCATTTGTTTAAAAGGTTGTCCTTTCTCTGTTGAATAATCTCTGCACCTTTGTCAAAAATTGACCTTACAGGGACTAGCAGAAGGTATAATGGTTGTGTCACTGGACTCCCACATAGTTGTCCGCAGTTAAGAGTCCCAGACCTGGTGGTTTAAAACTCATGCCAGGTCATGTGCGTGTGGTGATTTCTCATTGTCTCTCTGGTGAGCGTGCACACCCTATGGCAAAGATCTCTCGAAGAACAAGACCTTATATACGTGGGTTTTCTGCTCTGTTCCATTGATCCATAGTCTCTAATTTGTTTTTAAGAATTATTTTATTTATTTATTTAATTTTGTCCAGAGGGGTACAGAGCGAATATGCATGTGGTGCACGCATGTGAGAGAAAGAAAGTGAGAAAGCAAGCCAACAGGTTCGGGACTTGAACTATGGTCAGCAATGTGGGGAGTCCAGTGCCCTTAACCACCATGCCATCTCCCAGCCCTCATAGTCTCTCATTTTACCACAGTCTTAAGTATTGAACTCAGGTTTGATTCCTCCAACTTTGTTCTTCTTTCAAAACATGTTTGGCCTTTAGCGGTTGTCTCCTTCTACATAGATTTTACAGTAAACTTGTTGATTTCTACAAAACTTCCCTTTCGGGATTTTGACTAAAGTTAAGCTTAATCTGTAACTTAGTCTGGGGAGAACTGACATTCCTAATATCTTTTAATCCATGAATGTGGAACATCTCTTTTTAGGTCTTCTCTGTTTCCAAACATTCATTGTTATTATATAAAAGTAAATTGACTTTTGCATACTCTCTTAGTAAACACTCTTACCTGTTCTGGGAACTTCCTTTTAAATCCGTTGGCTTTTCTCTGTAGGTAATCACATCATCTACAAATAGATACAGTCTTATTTATTCACTTCCAATCGTTAAGACTTTTTTATTCTTTGCCTTACTATACAGTGACCTCTACTACCATGTGAAAAAAAAGAGTGCCTTGTTCCCAATGTGAGAGGGAAAACATTCGGTCCTATATATGATATCTAGCATTTTTGAAAATGCTTTTTAGGATTTACTCTTAGCTTGCTGAGGAGTTGCTTTTTGGTCATAAAAGGATGTTAAAGTTTGTCAGGCTTTTTTTCTGCATTTCTTTGAGATATAATTCACATACCATAATCACGTAAAAGTGTACAATTCAGCAATTTTTTGTATATTCACATTTTCTGCAACTTTGCAATGATTATTTAAGTTCTTTCATATGCTGATCAATTAGTTCATTGATTTCTTTTTAAATGTTGGATCAACCTTTTATTCCTGAGATAAAGCCCACTTGTTCATAATGCACTTTTATATATTGCCAGATTGCTGATATAATAAATGACCGTTAAAGTTCCTGTGAACTTATAATAAACATGACCGACTACACTAATTTTCTTATTGCTTTTGAGTAGAAATTACAAATGTCTCAAATGTTCTTATAAAATTTATCACTTAAAAGGAAATTTTTAATTTAAAAAAGCCTTTATAGCTTTTATCTAATAAAATCACATGGATCAAAGAAAGCTCACATTTGGTCTGCCGATAATGGTAAAATATGCACTAAAGAAACTCTTTAACAACAGGAAAAAGGCCTTGAGTAATTTACTTAGTGGAAAATACTCCAGTAGTAATAAAGATAGTAATAAAGACATTTTAGCTAACCGGCTTCCCTCCGCTTTCGCTGGCTGCTCCAATTTCCTATAGAAAATGCTTGTAAGGGATGTTCATATGTTCAAAGACAGGTTTGGTGGCTGGAGGTCAAAGCTTCATACACATGACGAATACTCATTTTCTTAACTATCTGTGTTACAGAACAATAAAAATAGAAAACTTTTCTAAAGGTACTTTTATTCACATTTTACATAAGATCAAAAAAGTCAGTTGTCCAAGATCAAAAAATGGGAGTGCTATGGCAGTATGTCCCTCTCCCCTCCTCCAATCACTGCTCTGATGGCTTTAGCCTGTAACATTCCGGTTCTGTTGCTCAGAGTCCAGAGATAAGACCTACAGTTGGGTTTTATGAATAGTTCTTCTGAGAAAAGGTAGTCATAAGAACATCACACATTAAAAGGAAAGAGTAGATTGGGCTTCTACTCTTAAAGTGCAAAAAAGAGAGAAGACGTATCTATGTTCTCATTTCAATACAATTTATGTTGATAATTGGCAAAATGATATTTTTTAGTTGTGTGTTTTCAGAAGTATCAAATTTACTTGAAAATCTGGTTAATTGAAAAGGTTTCTTTCATGTTACAGAGTTAAAAGGAGTGTAACTAAAGAATAAATGCAAACTTTCTTTTTTATAGAATAGTATAAATGTTTATTTTCTGTATGATTTACTTTACTGTCCTGTTTTTACAATATAGAAAAGTGTATTCTTTGAATAGCTCTAGTAAATATAAATTTAATCTTTCTACTTTGGGATGTAAATAGAGCTAAAAAATTATATACCCAGCCCTCCCCAAATAGTCTTTTAAAATTGTTGAATTAATGTGGCTATTAATCTTGTTCAGCAATTTGATGCAAATACCTAAATACAAAAAGTTGTTTAGTAAGTACTACACAAGAAGGAAAAGGCCTAATACTTTAGATAGCTTCTTGAAAATCAGAAAAACTAGTAGCATTTGATTGCACCTTCAAATTTGTACAAGCAAAACATTCTTAAGCAATGCCATCATACATAATCTACAATTGTAATTGAAAATTCACAAACATTTTCTGCACACTGTATATAAATACACATCACAAAGGTGCAATTAGAATTAACACAGAATATGTACAAAATGAACAGTTTAGGTTTAGACCAAAAACTTATTGCAATCTTTTGAAAAATAACTTGATTAGATATTATTTTATCCTCTTACACTAATTTACATTTATACAAATTTTAATTAAACATACTAGATTGAGGTGCTAAGAATGCACTATCTACATTTAAAGTTACTGCACTGTAATTTTATAAATCCAAATTTTAATAGGAAGATACTTTAATGAATAACGGAATCCTCTTTTGGATTACTTAATTTCTAGGTTCCTATATCTTGCATGTTCATATGAACATATATACATATTTAATACATACATACTATAGAGTCCTCGTAGGAAATGTAATAATTATATACTAATGATTACTCAGGATTAAGGTACCTAACAAACTGCCTGAATTCCAACATGGTTTTTTTCTTATCATAAAATCAAGAGTCTTATTACAATAGGCTCTTAAATTCATTGAGTTTTTGAATTTTGAATGACTGAAATGATTTAAGTTATTTTAGTAATTATATGAAAACACACATACCTTTAGCCTACCAAATCAATGGCTAAAAATAATGCCATAGTAAACTTCCCTTATAAAAAGAAATCCCACTACAATTTTGAAAGCTTGTTAGGAGGTCCATTTCAGTAAATAAGGTCACATATTGGTTCGAAACCTTGTCTAATTCAAAAGTCCATAGGTAACTATATAGATGAGAAATCCCCCAAATTAATCCACTCTGGTATTCTTAACTTCTCCATCCAAGCCCAATTTTGCACTTGATAATTATGTACGGTTCTATATTATCATGACATAATAATACGTTTACATCTATTCTTATGCACTTCTCATTTTAACAGTACCCAATAACTGTCACTTTGACTATTATCATTTCAAATACATACCACCTCTGGAAAAGAAAATGGAGACATCCCAGATCATCTCTTGCCCATTCCTTATTTTAGAAACAACTTTTTTATTTTAAGAGTGTGCTTGGGGCTTTGTTCCCTTTCTGACATTCCCAGGATATTATTCCAGAATCCGCCCTAAAAAGCTGTTTTTCTTAAGTGCTTTTCTAAACACAAAATGTCATTTGAATATGTTTCCTAAGCATTTGTTTATGTAGACATTCTATCGTATTTGCTTAGATCTAGTACCAAAGAACCACCGGGCAAACACCAGTGCTGCTTTGGCTTCTCTGCTGAACAAAGTCATACAACGCCATCCATTACAAATGATCGTAATTTATAAATGTTCTTTGTCAATAGAGTCAGAAGGATAGAACATCTTTCTTAAGAAACACAAGCAAATTAAAAATCTATATAATACAATAAAAATTCAATTTAGAAGGGGCATAAGCAGATTTAACTGAGATTTAAAATGTACCAATTTCCTCATTTAAAATTTCTTCTCTTTCAATATTATAATTTCAGGTCTCTTAAAACAAGGACTGAATTAAAATACAGTAATTGTTAAGCTATCTTCCAGAAAATCAAGTGTCCCTGCACCTTCGATTTTCTGCACAGTTCCACTTCTCAGCCTTGTGCAAGAGTTAACAATTCATGGCACAAGGGTCACTTTTTGCTTTTCCTGCCGAGTTGATGACGCTCATCAAACATCGTCCGAATTCCTCAAGTATCATCCGTTCGGCTGCTGCCTTTGATTTTCCCTTCTTGTCTGCCTGCTCTGCCTGGGCGAGAAGGCAATTACATGTGGCTTCAGCTACTTCCTTAGTTACAAATGTAAATGGCAATCTGAAATGATTTTTGAGAGAGAGAGAAAGATGATGATGGTGTTGAATAACAACAAAAGTGGGTAACATTCTTTCATCTGGAAATCTCTATTTCCAACCTCTAGACATTTTTCATGATTCACTAGTACAGTGAGTATTACAGTTTGCACAGTGAGCACAAATAAATCCTAAAGAAGTTTAGAAAGTAGGGCCAACAGGTGCTGTGGAGGTTGAGGTGACTGGATCCCACATGGGTGATGGCCCAATTCCGGTTCCTGACCTGACAACTTGAAAAACACCACACACATGTGCATGTCCAAAATCCCAAGAGGAAAATGGAGAAGAGATTGCAGGTGGCATGGCCATTGCCCTGGGGTATGATTTCTCACTTTCCCTCCCATTGTCTGTCTCTTGTATACCCACACTATGCTCAAAACCTAAATCTATATATATATAAATATAATATATATTAAATTTATATCCATATATTATAAAAACATGTATAATACAATATAATAATATATTTTATATATTATAGATGATATATTTATATATTTTATATATATATTTAGGTTTTGGTCATAGTGTGCATGTATATGTATGTATATACATATATATTGCTCAGGAAATACAGCATTTAATATAAAATACTACCTAGACTAGGTTATCTGACTAAGTAAAAGATGTGACTCTATGTGCATATTGGAGATTTCTATAAATATAGTCTCCCAATTCCTGAATATAAGCTCCATAAGTACAGCCTTTATTACTGTTATTTCTTTTTCTTTTTTCTTTTCTCTTTTTTTGGGAGATATTTTTGCTTTAGGGTAAGTGCATTTGCCAGAGAGACAGAGACAAAATGAGAAATCACCCCCCCCCCCGGGGGGGGGGGGAGATGGACATTCTGCGGTCTCTATTTTGGACACACACGCACACATGCCCAGCATGAGTTTCAAGCTGCTGGGCTCAAACCATGGTGGGCCATGTTGGGAGTCCAGTGGAGTAAACATCATGTCATTTGCTGGTCCCTATTACTATTTCTCCAGCATGTAGAACAGTGCCTGACACACACACATCCCATGAATATCTGCTGAATGAATATGTGAATATTGTGAATTGAAAGCACTCTCTTAGGCAACAATGAAAATAAGTCACCTTTACTATAGTTCTTCATATGCAAAGAAGCATACCAACATTTTCTACTGTTCCATCTCAAGAGACCAAATGTTATTCTGTGCAGTTTCATAAAGGCCTGAACTACTGAGTATTACATTAGAGCAATCAATCTTTTTTTTTTTTTCTTGAGAGGTTTTTGCCACAGGACGCGTGCGAGACTCGCCAGACAGAGAGAGACAGAGAGAAAGAAAGCGAGAAATCACCCCCCAGGGGAGATGGTCACACCGCAATCCCTTCTCCTCCATTCTCCTCTCGGGATCTTGGGCATGCACACACACGCACCCAGCGTGAGTTTTAAGCCACCGGGTCCGGGACACGAACCGCGGTCGACTACGTGGGAGTCCAACGACATAGCCATTAGGCTAACTGCTGGTCCCCGCTAGAGCAATCAATCTTGAGGCATGCTATTTATATTATCAAGTCAAATCTAAGGCCTACAAAAGATTAAACCTAATATAACAGCTAACTCAACCTGTAAGTGACCAGTCACTAATGAAACTAGGTTGTGAGACTAAATAAATAAAGTCTGATACTAAGTTCCACTCTGACAAGAGAGGGTAACTGACAATTCAAGCTGCCGAACAGTTGCATAGAGATCTTTAATGTACAAAGGAGCACTTTAAATTAGAAAATATTATTAATATTGCAGTAACACTGAATAATTAGAAATAGTATATAATAAAAGTACTCAGAACATTTGGAAACTAGCAAAAAGGGAAAAGAATTTGAGTTTATTGTCATTCAAAATATGAGCTTGGTAACACACTGGTGCCTGCCGAGTTGATGACGCTCATCAAACATCGTCCGAATTCCTCAAGTATCATCCGTTCGGCTGCTGCCTTTGATTTTCCCTTCTTGTCTGCCTGCTCTGCCTGGGCGAGAAGGCAATTACATGTGGCTTCAGCTACTTCCTTAGTTACAAATGTAAATGGCAATCTGAAATGATTTTTGAGAGAGAGAGAAAGATGATGATGGTGTTGAATAACAACAAAAGTGGGTAACATTCTTTCATCTGGAAATCTCTATTTCCAACCTCTAGACATTTTTCATGATTCACTAGTACAGTGAGTATTACAGTTTGCACAGTGAGCACAAATAAATCCTAAAGAAGTTTAGAAAGTAGGGCCAACAGGTGCTGTGGAGGTTGAGGTGACTGGATCCCACATGGGTGATGGCCCAATTCCGGTTCCTGACCTGACAACTTGAAAAACACCACACACATGTGCATGTCCAAAATCCCAAGAGGAAAATGGAGAAGAGATTGCAGGTGGCATGGCCATTGCCCTGGGGTATGATTTCTCACTTTCCCTCCCATTGTCTGTCTCTTGTATACCCACACTATGACCAAAACCTAAATCTATATATATATAAATATAATATATATTAAATTTATATCCATATATTATAAAAACATGTATAATACAATATAATAATATATTTTATATATTATAGATGATATATTTATATATTTTATATATATATTTAGGTTTTGGTCATAGTGTGCATGTATATGTATGTATATACATATATATTGCTCAGGAAATACAGCATTTAATATAAAATACTACCTAGACTAGGTTATCTGACTAAGTAAAAGATGTGACTCTATGTGCATATTGGAGATTTCTATAAATATAGTCTCCCAATTCCTGAATATAAGCTCCATAAGTACAGCCTTTATTACTGTTATTTCTTTTTCTTTTTTCTTTTCTCTTTTTTTGGGAGATATTTTTGCTTTAGGGTAAGTGCATTTGCCAGAGAGACAGAGACAAAATGAGAAATCACCCCCCCCAGGGGGGGGGAGATGGACATTCTGCGATCCCTATTTTGGACACACACGCACACATGCCCAGCATGAGTTTCAAGCTGCTGGGCTCAAACCATGGTGGGCCATGTTGGGAGTCCAGTGGAGTAAACATCATGTCATTTGCTGGTCCCTATTACTATTTCTCCAGCATGTAGAACAGTGCCTGACACACACACATCCCATGAATATCTGCTGAATGAATATGTGAATATTGTGAATTGAAAGCACTCTCTTAGGCAACAATGAAAATAAGTCACCTTTACTATAGTTCTTCATATGCAAAGAAGCATACCAACATTTTCTACTGTTCCATCTCAAGAGACCAAATGTTATTCTGTGCAGTTTCATAAAGGCCTGAACTACTGAGTATTACATTAGAGCAATCAATCTTTTTTTTTTTTTCTTGAGAGGTTTTTGCCACAGGACGCGTGCGAGACTCGCCAGACAGAGAGAGACAGAGAGAAAGAAAGCGAGAAATCACCCCCCAGGGGAGATGGTCACACCGCAATCCCTTCTCCTCCATTCTCCTCTCGGGATCTTGGGCATGCACACACACGCACCCAGCGTGAGTTTTAAGCCACCGGGTCCGGGACACGAACCGCGGTCGACTACGTGGGAGTCCAACGACATAGCCATTAGGCTAACTGCTGGTCCCCGCTAGAGCAATCAATCTTGAGGCATGCTATTTATATTATCAAGTCAAATCTAAGGCCTACAAAAGATTAAACCTAATATAACAGCTAACTCAACCTGTAAGTGACCAGTCACTAATGAAACTAGGTTGTGAGACTAAATAAATAAAGTCTGATACTAAGTTCCACTCTGACAAGAGAGGGTAACTGACAATTCAAGCTGCCGAACAGTTGCATAGAGATCTTTAATGTACAAAGGAGCACTTTAAATTAGAAAATATTATTAATATTGCAGTAACACTGAATAATTAGAAATAGTATATAATAAAAGTACTCAGAACATTTGGAAACTAGCAAAAAGGGAAAAGAATTTGAGTTTATTGTCATTCAAAATATGAGCTTGGTAACACACTGGTGTAACTTTTTACATACTTTTTTTTTTTAAGTTTAGTTATTCCTTTCATGAAGGAGGCAGGCATCCTTAACAGGACCTTGCTATGCTGCAGTCTCCCCAAGGCAGCCAGTTTTACTGGCATGTGCAGGTTCAGCCAGACAAACCCAACAGCTTCAACTCTGCACAGTGGTCTCCCACTTCCTGTGTCGCTGTGGCTGGGCATAAACTTTTTTTTAACGTAGTTTTGATTATAGTGTATGATTTTGTGTTCTTTTTTCACTTCATTACATTTCCCAAATTGAAGAATTAATTATGAATATTTTACTGACAGTATTTCTTTAATCTCCACTTATTGACTTAATAATCTTGGGACCAGCAGATGGCGTAGCTGTACATCGCTGGACTCCCACATGAAACCAACTAAGGTTCGAGTCCTGGACCTGGAGGTTGAAACAAAGCAGGCATGTGTGCATGTGTGGATAAAATCCTGAGAGGAGAATGGACAAGAAGGGACTGCGGCATACCCATCTCCCCTGGGGGATGATTTCTCACTTTCTCTCTCCAGTGAGCACATGCACCCTACAGCAAAATTTTCTATTAAAAAAGTAATCTCAAGAGTTAAGATTTCATGGTGTAACCCCCATTTCCACTTGATTCAGTCAGGAACTACTTGCTGATTATATTCCAGTTGTGAAAGTCCTTTAGAACTAATATCTGTAATGTTTCATAAAATAAAAAAAAAAAGCACTTTTTATTTAAAAAAATTTTTTTTAAATTTACTTATTTTCTTTGTTATGATTTTCAAGCTGCCAGGTTCAGGACATGAACTGTGGATGGCCATGTGGGAATCCAGTGCTTTAGCCACCACACCACCTTCAGGCCTCTAAAGCACCTTACTTTTATAAGCATTGAATCTTATTCCAACTTATACATTTTCGATACTATGCCATTTGCAAGGCTCATTACATTTTATAATACCTCAAAAATAACTTCTAATGGGACCAGAAGTTAGCATCCTGGCTATGTTGCTGGACTCCCATGTAGTCAACCGCGGTTCGAGTCCCAGACCTGATGGCTTAAACTCACGCCGGGCACGTGTGCGTGTGTGCCCAAGATCCTGAGAGAATGTAGGAGAAGGGATTGCAGTGTGGCCATCTCCCCTGGGGGGTGATGTCTCACTTTCTCTCTCTGTCTTCTGGTGAGTGCATGCGTCCTATAGCAAAAACTTATATATATAACTAACTAACTAACTAACTAACTAACTAACTAACTAACTAACTTCTAATGAACTCATACAAATCCAGGTCCGAATCACAAACCATGTTATATCAGGCCCTGACAAGTGCTGGGGATAGAAATGGCTTTATTTTTCACAGCCACCTGGCAAGGGCTATCTTGAGGGGAAATAAAAAACAGGCTGAACCAGCCCCATAGCACAGCAGTTAAGGGAGCTGGAACCCACATGGCCAAGCCCATTTCAAATCCTGGCCCTGGTAGCTTGAAAAAACACGCCTGACGTGTATGTGCAAGCCCGAAAACCTAACAGTAATGAGAAAGGAGAAAAGATTGCAATGTCACGTCAGAGAGTGCTTTTTCTCCCTCTGCCCAATCCCCTGTCCTCATACAAGCATATGCCCTCTAGGAATATAACAACAACAAAAAAAGAAACTGAGGCTGATTGAAAGAGGCAGCACAAATTTTAAAGGTCAAGCTTTTGTAACCCTAACTCAGTGGTCAAGAGGCAGCAGTAAGAGACCAATATTGGTGTGATAGGAGTCCAACAGGATGGGAAAGGTGCTCCAGGGACAGGACATGGAAGAAAATGGGAAAATATGAATAACTGCACTGTCAGAGGCAAGACAAATGTGGGATTTTTAGGGGCTCCTCAAATTATGTAATTACCTCTTAGTAGAAAGAAATCCACTTCAATTAAGCAGAGTAAACTAAAGCATTATTGTGCATTTCAGAACTGCACAATATCCCTAACAGTGGTTTTTCTGTTACCTTTAAACTCCTTTACAACCAGTAACTAAAGATGGAAAAAAAAAATGCAAAAAATCAGGTATGCAACACCCTAAACTATGAACTTTCACTTTCGACCTATCCCCAGCAAAGAAAACGTCACTCAAAATGAATATCTGAGAAATATTATAAAAAGAGATGAAAATATTGACTTACTTTCCTCCTCCACTGTTCAAAGCTGGTGTCGGCCTGGTGAGCAAGTCTGAAATCTGTGAGGATAACTTAGTCTTTGCCGCCGTCTGCTGCTGCACCCTTACTTCAGCTGCATCTGCTAAGTGCATCAACGTCTTTCTTTCCGGGCTTTCTTCAAAATTTTTACAGCCAATGCATTTGCATATTGAGGAACACATTATTTTTGCCTGAAAGATTCACAGGAGAAGCTTCCAAGTCAAACCAAAACCATTATTGTAAGTAGGTTCTAAGAGTAAATCAACAGGCAGCATTACAGCATCAACTGACGCTGTCTCTTGCAGACAAATACCAGGTGGGCTAACTTCATGCGTGGACAGGTCAGACATTTTTACGTGGCGGTACAATGTTTATGTTTTAGTCCTTTTGTGTCAGTTGCCCCACACTATGATTACAGTTTTCCTCTTGATATGAACATGTGTTCTTCATAAAGAGTACAAATAATACATTAAGATATTAGAAATAAAAGCCATTAGAATCCAACCACCCCAATCAAATGACCATTAACATGCCCCATTTATACAAACATGTGTAATTTCATCTTAAAAGGATTTCACAAATGCAGCTTTTATTATGGATACCTCCATACCTGTCCTCTCTCTCCAGATTCCCCCAAACTTTCAATAACCCATAATAAACCTGTGTGTTTTTTCATGTAAAAATATGCAAAACAAGTATATTTATATAAAAAAACAGACTTTATGTATATATGTACTAACAAATACATAAATATTCTATTTTTTAGTTTGCTTAAGAAAATCAACACTTACTTTTCTACATTATGCTTTTCTTACAATACAAATCCCTACCTCCAGGCATAACCTGAATTTATGACATTTGTCAGTGGGTATTATTCTCCTCTATGACGTGCCATGTTTTACTGGGCATTCATTCCCCCACTGATAGGTGTTTATTTTCTTTCCTGTTCTTGGGCACCATGAACGATGCATAAAAACATTTTTCTTTTTTGCATATACTATGCCTTTTTTTTCTTTTTTTTTTGGCCATAGGGTGTGTATGTATGTTCACCAGAGAGAGAGAGACAGTAATAAGGAAAGTGAGAAGTCACCCCCCTACACACAATGGCCACACCACAATCACTTCTCCACTCTCTTCTTGGGATTTTGGATAGGCATGCACACTCACCCACCATTATTTTCAAGCCACCAGGTCAGAGACTCAAACCATGATCGGGCATGTGGGAGTCCAGTGCCTTAACCACGACACCATCTGATGGTCCCCATACTATGCTTTCATTTCTCTGAATTAGATTCCTAGAATTGGGCTCACTGGTCAACGGGTATATGTATTTGAATTTTAAGAGATATGACCAGAATGCTTTTACAAAAGCTGAAACACTTCATATGTCATCAGCAATGTATAAAGGAAGGCTTTCTCACCTTCTAACAATGAATATTTACCTATTTTTAGCATTTTTCAGTCTGACTGGGGGAGAGGCATAAATCGAGATGTCACTGATCTTTGGGTTACATTTCCCTGTCTTCTAGTGAATATGACTACCTCTTATTAAATCCATTTTCTTCAGTGGGCTCATGTCAATTTACATAAACAAGCAAAACTACTGTTCTTTCTGTCTACAGTGCCTAGGAAGATAAATGGACCACACATGAACACATTTACTCTGCTCCTTTCTAACAGTACAAAAATAAATTCTATTTACCAAAGGAAATAAATGCATATATGTTTGGATTAATTGGGTTAGTGTGAGCCTGTCTAGGAATTTAACCGAACCAATACTTAGAAAGGATCTAATAATAAAGAAAGCAGGGGGACATGCTTTGCGGTTTCAACTAATATGGTACAGGATAGTAAGATATTTTAAGAGGGAGGAACAACATTAAAATATTCCTGTAGTGTATTTGTTCTACTACTAGGTATCGTTGTTAATTTCTTATTGTTCCTAAGATATAAATTGGATCGTAGGTATATATGTATAGGAAAAAAGTTGATGCAGGATTTGGTACTCTCCATGATTTCAAGCATGCATTGGGGGTCTTGGAACATACACCCTGCAGGACTACCATCATTGGGATTATGTTTTAAGACCTTTAAGAAAGGTATTAGTCATTCCCAACAAAAGTTTGGGAGAAAGAAACTACAATGACAAGGTAGACACTTAGCTTTGCTAATTCAACTTCTCTTTGTAGCAAAAAAGGGGGAAAAAAAGGAAAAAAAAAAAGGTTCACAAAAAAACCCACAACCATTTAAATATGGATTCATTTAAATAACTATTTTTAAAGGTGATTCATTCAATCAGCCAGCTTGCAGGCATGTGAAAGGAACATGAATGTGTTACCTAGATGCAAACCAAAAGGACTAAGAACCCAATTAGTTTGAAGACCAAGGTACTGAAAGAACAGGTCAGCACATGGTGTCAGACATCCCAGCTCATTCATAACAGGCCCATTAGCCACTCGCACTATTTCGTGTATTCCAAGTTTTTCTATTTTTTGGTATATGACTTTTAGTATCACAAATTAGGTATTAGCCACTGTATTTGTCCTGATGTGACTTCATTTGATTGGACAGCACAGGTTTCTCTCTTTCAACAAGTCCACTACCTTCCTACTTACAGATCTGTAAACTAGCTCAATTAAAACAGTTCATGTATGTTTGAATTTCATATGCCCAGAGGGTATACTGACGTCCAATGCCATAAGAAAGTGTAGCTTTGTCTTTCTGATCAGCTTTGTATCAATTTACACCTTCTCTCTTTTTGCAGACTTGATTTGAAAACTTACTAAAACTGCATTCTTGGAGAGTTGGAGATGTTAAGAGACTTTTAAAACTAATCTTGCCTTCATGCAGTTTTCACATATATTGACTGTAGAACTAACAAGAGGTTACTCCACGCCTTCTTGAGAGGTATACTGATCTCACAAATAAATAAATTAGGGAAAAACTCATTCCAGAGAGAATGCTGTCCACAAAATCTTTATCATGACACATTTTGCGTGGGAAAGGGT